TGCAGACACTGGACACGCTGCTGGAGAGAGAACAGGGTTCATTGAAGAGGGTCAGGGCACACAGAGGTGCTCCCTAGGACTTGGAAAAACGGAGGAGTAAGGAGGAACGACAGCAAGTCAGGGCTTGCAGTGGGGAAATAGTGTTTCACAGATGTCCCCAAATGCATGCCATGGTGTGTCTCTCTTTGAAGATTAATCCTGCCGAGGACTTTCTCCTGTTCTACAACACCCCTGCACCTGTGTGTGCTGCGATTAACCCCTCAGCTTCTTCTGCTTCTGTGGGTCTCCTTCAGGCATTCTGGGCAGACAGCCCATGTCCCTGAAGGCCGTTCCCTAGAAAAGCGTTAATTTGTCCCTGTTTAGCAGCATGATCCACTCAGCATGCTTGCTGTTGTGCAGGAGACCCTGTCCATCGGCAGTGCTACTCCCAAATCTTCTCTAAGGAGGTATCAGATTCAAAAGCTGCCCCTTTAGCTCCTCAGCCTTCCTTTTCCTGATGCTCTCCATAAACCTCTCCTTTTGTCTCTTACCTACCACCAGAAACAAAAGCACTGAATGAAATCTCTCACCTAGCAGCTTTGGAAGTCTAGAGTTATCCTCATAACACAACCCACAACCCACTTCACATTAGCACCTTCCTGGATAAACAGTAAGGGAAGAGGCTTCTCACCAGGCCTTTCCTATGTAATTGCTTGTCCCTTCCTTCACAGAACCATTGGTGTGGCTGATATCTTGTCCTTGCACAGCCAGGCATGGCTGCAGAGGACCAGAACGCTCAGGGAATGAGGAGTAGTGAGTCAATAATGGGAGAGTCTAGAGATTTTCATAGTCACTTTGTCACATCAGAAATGTGTCACTTTTCTGTTTTGCCCTCAGTTCTATCATGGATTGGGTAAGAAGGATCCAGGCATGAAGCAGATACACAGGGTCAACAGTGATCTAGAGTACAGCATGTTCTGAATGCCCTCATGTAGCATCTGTGAAAAAAATTAGGTGCTCAGGTGCTACACCTAACCACCAGGTCACCTGCTGTAACTTGAATGACAAGAGTAACAGCAGAATGTCCTCCCCACTCAGTGGTGCTCCCTCTGACCTCTTCAGAAAGACAACCCTAGAATCTACAAAAGGAAAGTCGGCAGCAGTCCGTACCAATTCCCTATGCATGAAGTACCAGCTGGAGGAGATGGGCCCAGCCTTCATGTCCACAGACAATTAAAGGGCAGAGATTGTTGACAAAACAGAAAATCAGAAGGCTTCTTTGTATCAAAGGGATGATAGTCGCCAAGTGTGTGCAGCACAAGTTGTGTGTCACTTGAAGTGTCCAGGCTGCCCTGTCCCTTTGTGCTGAATGGCACGAGTTACCTGGACTAACATAGAAGTCCCCTGTGGATGGGAAGAGACCAGCAGGTCTGGCCTGAGGCCAGTGGAATGATCTGCAGCCTCGACTAAGAGACCATATTCCTTGGGCCCTTATGATGACCCCCTGGGAGCCATGTTTAAATTGCCGTACTTTCCTGAGTCACCTAGATGATCTTGGGAAAGTTCAGTGCTCTGCTGGTAAGCTACAGCTCCATAACTCAAGGTGGGAGTGTGGTGGCAAACTGAAACTCCAGAAACCTTTCAGGGATAGCTGGGGGTTAGAGGTTCTGGCCCTGCCCTTCAGGCTTACCTCCATCTGAAGCCATCCCCACAGGGTTGGACAGCGCCCACAGCTGTCTGGCAGCCTTCGAAGGGAGGAAAGTCAAGTGGAGAACCCAGAGAGCAACGTGGCTCCAGTTGCTTCTCAGGGTCCAAGTACAACTGGGGAAAGCTTAAATGTAAATAGCAGTAGAATGTGGGGGTCAAGGCATTCTACAGTGGGGGAGGGGCAGAGACCCAGGAGGGCTGGGTGGGGAGTTGACAGACATTCCATTAAGGGCTGTGGCAGGTGGACCAGAACCTCAGTTCCCTCTAAATAATAATACAGAGGCAAGATGACTGGTGGGTGCCCAGGCAACTTGAATATTCGCTCTCCCGTGCAGAGGCCAATGGTTTTGCTGATGTTTATTCCTTCATGTCTTCATCCATAAGCCTGGTTTTCTTTCCTTCATCCCACCCGATTTCCTTCTGCATGAGTAGATTCTTGAACCATTTCAATGGGTTCATAAGTTCGGTCTTTAAGCTCTGCTTTATATACACATGTATTTATGTGCATGTATACATCTTGTGTGTATATATAACGTGCCTGTTTATATACATATATAATGCTCAAACATTTTCTCTATACACACAGAATATTGGCTAAAGAAATAACAGTGACTGTCTCTATACACACAGAATATTGGCTAAAGAAATAACAGTGACTGTCAAGTTTCGATTGGAATCTCTGAACTTCATCGCTGTAGGAAAAATGTCAGGAACAGAAGTGCAGAAAGCCTTCCCTTGCCCTAGTCTCCAGGTCCTTATTATTTCTCTTTCCATTTTTATGCAGACTTTGAAATTCTCCATCCTTGTAATGTCTGTATATGTTGAGAAAATCCAGGCTCCCACCCACCAATCTCCTTTCCTCATTCCTCTGTGTCCTCCACATGGTAGTGTGAGTTGTCCCCTGTGATCCTGGCCACACTGTTCACTGGCTTCACAATTGCTTGTCTCCATTACATCCCTTTGCTCTTTGGAATGCATATTCTAAATTTCTGGGGCCAGGTTTTCTGACTTGATGGTTTGTATTTCAGTTGTTGGGATTTTTTGGCCCTAAATGATGGTAAAGCAGCACATATTCAGTAGGAATCCTAGGTGAAAGGTTGTGTTTTGAACTTTCCCTAGACTAGTGATTCATGATCTAATGTCTTGATGCTGGGCAGAGACAGCCAACATTTGATTTCATAGCCACATGACCATGAGGGTACATAGATGATGGTCTATGCAGCAGTGTGGTTTTGTTTTGTTTTTGGTCGGTCATGGGGCTTGATTTCTGGGCCTGAGCGCTGTCCCTCAGCTCTTCAGCTCAAGGCTAGTGTTCTACCACTTGAGCTACAGTGCCACTTCCTGTTTTCTGGTGGTTTATTTGAGATAAGACTTTCACAGACTTTCTTGCCCAGGCTGGCTTTGAACTGTGATCCTCAGATCTCAGCCTCCTGAATAGCTACGATTACAGGCGTGAGCCACCAGCACCCAGCTTTGCACATCTCTTTTAAATATGTTTTGTACTTTTGCTTATATCATGTCTCTACAATACCCATGTGTTCATGCTAATGAAACCTTTAAGGAGAAAATGATTTTGTCCAACTACAGATTAATATATGAGTGTTTGATAATGCTTCATGTAGGCTCGCCTAGGTTACAATATGTTGTGTGCTAGGGATGGTATGAATATGAATTTTGTTTTTGGCTATGTTGAACCATGCCTCTCAACAAGTGCACAATTCATTGTGAGTATATCTGCATGGCAATTGTTTTAAAATGCCCCCCCAAAGAAAATTTGTGTTCTAATTTGTATGAGTCATTGCCAGTACTTCATTATCAGCATCCATATTCGGTCAATATTCAATCAATATTCATCACTGTTCTTGCTTCCTTCACAGAATTTAGTAATAGGGTTTAAATCAAGACTGATATTTTCATATCATGACTGACTTCATGCAATTGTAAGAATAGTGAAAAACAAAAGTATTATTTGAGTCACCATGAATAAAATGAAGTTACAATAAACAAGAGTCTATATTTTATTATTCCTTTCTCTGCTATGCAACTTATTTAAATCTATTTCACTGTTTTTAAAAGTTTTATTGTTATAAAGGTGATTACAGAAGAGGTACAGTTACGTAAGCCAGGTAAAGAGTACATTTCTTTTTGGACAATGTTGCCCCGTCTCTCACTTTCTCTGCATTTTTGCCTCCCCCACCTGCACCCATAGTTGTAGAGTTCATTTCAGCATGGTGTAGTGAGTGCCACTGCTGCCTTTGTTCACCTTTGTCCACTTCCCTGCCCCTCCCTACCCTCCCAAAGACAGATACATGAACAAACAAAAAGAAACAAAGGCAGCCACCAAGAGAAAAGCTTCTTGTTTCCATTTCCTGGAATTAATTTTGATAAATATTATTTTATATGATCAGAGGCACATAGGCATCGTGCCTTTGTGTTCCTCTCCTAAGAGTATATCCTCCTCTAGTCTCATTGTGTATGAATGTCTAGTCCCGATGAATTTTAGATCTAGCTTCTGCATATGAGAGAAAACATGTCCCATTTGCCTCTCTGAGCTTGGCTTACCTCACTTAACATGAACTGCTCTCAGTCCATCCATTATCCTGCAAATACTATTCTTTCTAATGGCTGTGTAAAATTCCATCATGTGTAGGTGCTACATTTTTTTGATCCACTCATTTATTATAGGGCATCTGAGCTGTTTCTATAACTTAGCTGCTCTGAATAGTACAGAAATGAACATGGATGTGCAAGTGTCTTTATGGTATCCTGATTTGTGATATTCTATTCTAGGTAGATGCCCAACATTGGTGTAGCTGGGTATAAGGGAAGATCTATGTTTAGTTTTTTTTAGCAACCACTATCCAGAGTGGTTGCACTAATTTACATCCCCACCAACAGTGCAATAGAGTTTCTTTTCCCCCACATCCCTACCAACACTTGTTAGTATTCAGATTCTTTTTTTTTTTTTT